CCATTACTACTGCTATCTTCTCACTACAGAATCACCAAAAAAACAAAAAAAGTAAAAAAAACACGTACTCCTTTTTTTTTTTTTTTTTTTAAAAAAAAAAAAAAAAAAAAGCATACCAAGCAACAAAGACGACAAGTCTCTCGTCCTTTAACTCTACAGATTCAATGTCGCCAATATCACGTTCCCAATCTGAAGAAATTTCCGGTCCAAGATCATTTGACTCAACTTTAGGTTGCTTTTCTATCCGTTTTTTATATTTTGTTTTTTTGATTTTCTTAGGTTCAGTATTCCCAGAATCTTGTGAAAGTGTGGTTTGTGATGACGATATATTTGTTTTCCCGGATCGCTCTTCATCGCTGCTTGAAATGACACTTTTAGGTTTTCGTTTTTTAGATTTTTTCTGTATTTCAACATTCAAATCAGTCGATGGAGAGTTAATTTTTGTTGACTTTAGTGGTTCCTGGGGCTGTTTTCGTTTTTTAACTTTTTTTTGTATTTCAACGTCCAAGCCAGTCGATGGTGAGTCAGAATTTAGTGGTTTTTGGGGTTCAGATTTGGGCAAAGATTGTTTGACAGATAATGAATTCCAATATTCATTAACTAACTTTTGAGCAAATCTATTTATGATATTAATCATAAAATTGGGATTAAAATGATTCAATGCATAACACGAGTTTTTCAAAAGAATACCTACACATTTTTTGACAATTCCCACGTATTATCTTTTTCATCCCAACCATCCCATTTAATGAAATATTCCAATTCACCCTAGAAAATAAATAATAATAATTAATAAGACTTTTTAATTTCTTATTTTAAATAAAGGACGTATATACGTCATCGTTAAATCTATGGTTCACAATTTTTTCGACCACATATTCGTCATCTTCAACATCATCATCGTCAATGTCGCCGTCATCGACATCGTCGTCCATACTTTCTTGAGTACTTAGTTTTCCATCTTCAGGATCGAAACTATATGGAGATTCTTCTCTATTCCAAAATTGCGAATCCAACTCCAAAGCAACTTTTTGTGAAAGTTCCAACTTTGAACAATTTTCGGCTTTATCATCATTGGAAAAATCCATAAACGTCTCGTCGTTGGAATTCTCTAAAGTAGTTGAATGTTCATATTCATCATTTTCAACATGGGAATTGCCTTCACCGAAAACAATATTTCCACCCATGAAAAAATTACCACCGTAAATAATACTATGACTAACAGCGCCATCGCCAGGAATAGTGTTATGAGGAGTCATTATTTTTCATTTAATCACAAATAAAGATAGAAAGCTGAAAGTTATTTATGAAATAAACAATCCAATGACATCATAAAAGTTTGAAAATTATTCATTTTGAATAATTTGAACTAAGGTTTTGAAGATGATGCAAAAATAAGTTTATATAATAGCATCATCATGAATAAACCAAAATTCGTAACACTAAAATTGATTTCATTCCGAAGAAACACACATGTTATTATAGATATGAACTAACGTATTTTATTTAAGCCACTACAGTTTCAAAAACGTTGCTAACACTAATGAATACTAATAAAATACTAAAATCAAAAAAATTTTTTTTCGAGAACATTAAATGGTAATAACTGTACTGTACGTTTACATTGTATTTAATTCATCACCAAAGAAAAAAAAATAATTTCTACTACCGAACGCATAGTTATCACTATCATTTGTAAAATAAAAAAAAATTTATTGGTGATACATTTTATTCGCACCAGCCTGGAGTGATTTCAGCAATTTTTTCTTTGCGTTTTGCAGATTCAACTGTAAACGTTTAATGAGTTAATTACATTTTCATAGAGAACGTAAATATCAAATAATGTTTATTAAGTACAAATATAACATACTATCAAACTTGATACATTCAACGTTATCCTTTTCACTCCTGACATCGACCGGCAAGACTTTCGGTTTCTCACACCCACTAATGTAAATCCTTTCGAGTTTACATTTATCCCCAATTTTATTAGCGGCAGCAGATTCACTTAATTTAGTTGTCTCTTGGACATCTTTTTGTTCTTTTAATTGCTCCGATTTCGCTTTTTCAGTCGTCTTTACAGTGGTGACGGAGGGAATAGGGCATTCTTTATAGCATACCTTTTCATCAATAACATTAAGATCAACGTATATATTTTCCATTGTTTTTAGAAAATACAAACACTAAAAAAGACTAATAAGACGTAGAAAAAACATGAGCACCGTATTTTTTGCATATTTATATAAATTTCGAAACAATGATTCTATTACCATGTCATTTATTCTGATGAATGACATTCCATCCAGACTTATTTAGTTTATTACGTATTTATGATAAAATTGGATTACTATCTATTAACTAGTTATAGCTCTCTCTTTTTTTTTTTAACGTTACCGATCAAAAAAAAATTCTTTCACATACTCAAAAGATGAATAATGAAAATTACGGTAAAATTCAAATGGGTACGTATCACAATAACGATAATATAAATACGTAATTATCATAAAAGAAACCCATTCAACAACAAAGAAATACTTTTTTGATATACTGTATTGATGATGATCACAAATCTGCATTATATAAATGGGTAATGCATTAGTGCATTATTTGATCCTCCTTTTTTTCTTTTTTTTCCAATGTAGTGAAACATATTTTATTCATGCCAGAACTTTTAGCAGATTGTCTTTACGAAATATTTAAATATTTGAGGAATGATGATAAAGATGATAGAAAATCTTTGAATACCTGTATATTCGTGAATAGACTTTGGTGTAAAAATGCCATTCCTTTATTTTGGGCATGCCCTTGGTATGACGGTGGAAATTTTGTATATAAACCCGCCATCATTAATACAATTCTTTCATGCCTATCCGATGTATCTCGTCAAACATTAATATATAATGACATTGCAACATCATATTTTAGCACATATCGCCAACCCTTGTTTAATTATGTTAGTTATTGTCAAACCTTATCTCCTTGGATAATTGATGGAATGATTCATGTAGTATTATCAGACGATCAGAGTCGACTTAATGATTTGACATTGGGCTATAAAGCTACTATATTGGAACATGAATTATACAAGTTGTATATGTCAAAGGCGTCTTCGATCACTCGACTTGTTCTCCCAGATTTCCCTATTTTATATATGCCTGGTGCAAGATTATGTTTATCATATCTTTCGGAACTAGAGTGTAGTACTGATGATTCACCGAGATACTTTTTTTGTCTTGCAGAATTTTGTCGAAAGATTCAAAAGCTTCGTGTTTATCCTTGTGAAGAAGATAATCAAGGCTTGGCTACTTTGATTACTTTTCAACATCGTTTGATTCATCTGGAATTGAAAACAGACAACGGTGAAATGGTGGAAAAATTAACACATATTGGCGATGCGCTTACTACTCAAGCGCAATCTTTAACTTACATCAATGTTTATAATAATTTATTTTTTTCTACTGAGCATTTATCTACATTTGTTTTTCTTAAAGTTTTAAAACTTTATGTCACTTCTGAAATACCAAGAAAGTTTTGGCTTTGTAACATGGTTTTACCTCATCTCGAAATACTTGATGTATTTCGAGATGAATTTACACCGTTTAGAATTTATAAATGTTTTATCGAACATTCTTCATCTAATTTTCGGAGAATTTATTGGAACAGATTACTTGCTTCACCACCAGAAAATAAAGAAATTCAAGAATTCATTCGAATTATTTCAAGATCAGCTCATTCACTCAAATTTGTCACTATTTGTTATTCGGATGATTTTATCGAAGAATTTACACAATTTTTATCACTTTGTACAAATCTAGTTGGAATTAAGATTTGTGCTAAAGATTTAATCGAAGATGGTACTAATAGTACTATGATTAACGCAGAAAATATTTTAAAAGTTATTGTTGATAAAGCACCAAAAAATTTTTCTATTTTAAATTTTGACGGAAATTGGACATTTTCTTTTCATGATATTGAATCTTTTTTTTTCAATTGGAAATATAGAAATTTGTCGATGTCGGGTCGACCATTGTCTTTATTTATTTCAGAAGATTGTGAATTTTCTTGGGGGTTATCGGTTGATGATTTGATTAATAAATATGTAGATGAAAATGTTTTAAAATGTTTTAGAATAACGGAATTTTTGGACTTGGAAGATAAAGAACTTATAGATGTCATTGATTTTTAATTAATTTATATTCTTGCGCTTGTTTTTTTATTTATTTATTATAGAATAAACAATGTTTTTAAGAAAAAATTATCTTTTAAACATTATATCATTATATTCATGATTCTGAATTAATTTTTCTAAATGCCAATAATATCTTGCTTTAAAGGATTATTGATGTAATCAATCGTGTAATTTTATGCAATATATTTCAATTACCATTACAGCATTACCTTGTATTATTATTAAAATTAAGTATATTAAAATTAAGTATATTGCAGAATGAATTTATCGAACTGATAATTTGTACTATCTCGCAGCACAATTGGTGTTGGTGGCGGCATTTAGTACTACGGATTCTTGATAAATTTCTAAGATCAAATTAACACGATATTGATGCTTCTGTAGCATTGTAACATCTGCTTGGTTAGTAACTACATTAGGGAATTCATAATATGTTTTTAGCACTGGTAAACAACGAGACAGCTTTTCTTTTTCGATCTAAGCGTCTTTTTTAAAGTGAAATCTTTTTGCAATGTTAGAGTCGCATATTGAGATCTTCAACATTCGGTGTCAATTCTCTATAATGTTTATATGATATTTTATTAGTAAGGTTAAGTAGTTATTAAGGAGGGAATTTTTATTACTTTTGATTATCTACTTTTCCAATTTAGCCAAAGGTAGTGTTCTGCCCGATTCGCTTCGGTCCGAGATTTATGCAAAGCCGGACTCGAATCAAAAAATCTATTCGATTCTATATCTAAACCTAGATTAATGAAATTAGAAATTTCACGAATAAATTATCTCTAATTATATAATCACTTCTGTTAGATGGCTTTTCATGTATATGTTGTAGGTGGGAATGGAATTTAAGTAGATTTGGAATTTCCTAGTTAAATTAGGGTTAGGGTATACATATAATAAAATCAACCCCAAAAAACGCGGGTTTTATATATAAATTCCGAATCCACTTAAATTCCGTTTCCACCTACAACATATACACATAGTTTGTTATGACATAGCCTAAACGATTTAATTATTGCAACGAAGCGCAAATTATATTTTTATGAACTTTATAAATTATTTTATCACCAAAATTCAATTAGTTTTTTTTTTTTAGCAAAATTTAATAAGATCACAATTCAAAAAGAAAAAAATAAGAGATGCAACAAATTATGGTAAAATGTGTTATCCCATATCAGAGAATTCGAAATAATAAAAATGTCTTATGTTTGTTCCAACCCCGCAAACATTCCATTAGCATTCTTTATTTAACCCTACTCAATTTTGTTGTATCGTTGTGGTCGTGTATGTGCCGGTTTTTTGCTATTTATGGCTTGCAGTG